CCTATATACCAAGAAATGTAACTTTTGTATCTGATAAGGTCAGCCAAGGACTCTCAGGATTTATCCTGTAGAATGAGTTTATATAATTACATCAATGCTCCATAGCCCCTTCAGTGGGATGTAGAATAAACCCATTTATGGAACAGAAATCTGCCCAATGCAAAAATTCAGACAGTTCTTTTTAAAAACTAGTATTTATCATTGCTATTAGATATTATGATTGATTTTTCTTAAGTTCTGTAAGAAAAGAAAATTTATAGCATTATAACATTTTTACCAAGATTCTGTAATTATGGGAGAACTTTAAAAGTAATTGTAATATCTACCACAAAATGTGACCTGTATGAAAATCCATATATAATATGTATATTTCGATTTATTTAGAGTGTGTGTATATGTGTACGTGTGCGTTTTACTGGTGACTCAGGCTTTTACACTGAGCTAAATCCTCAGCCCCATTTTATTTTTTATTTTGAGACAGTCTCATGAAGACCTACGTTGTCCAGGATAGACTCAAACTTTCAATCCTTTTTTTTTTTCGTGGTACCAGGGATTGAATGCAAGACCTTGTGCTTGCCAGGCAGGTACTTATGCCATTGAACTATCTCCCCAGCCCTCAATCCTTTCACTTCAGCCTCCCTGGGATACAGACATGGCTATAAATAGATTTTTAAAGATCCTGTATGTACGTATTTACGTATGTATGTATTCGGTACAGGGTTTCACTATGCAGCTCAGATTCCTAGTGATCCTCCTATCTCAGCCTCCCCAGCAATGGGATCACAGGCCTGCGCCACCATGCCTGGTTCCGATCCACCCACCCTGTGCACACTATATGCAGTACCCCTGAAACCCTGCAAAGCCATGTCCTCATCTGCCCAGTGGAACTCTTTGAAAGCACGCTTGAAAAACCACTGGTACACCCAGGTGGGGGCACACCCGTAGTCCTCAGCACTTAGGAGGTTGAGGCAGGATTGCTGCAAGGTTGAGGCCAGTCTGCGCTACACAGCAAGGGCCTGTCTCATAAACAAAAAGAACAACAAATTAAAAAAAAAAAAAAAACACTAATATAAAGGAAACAAAGAAACTGTTTTTAAAAGGTGTAGGTCGTGCTTGACTTACAAATCTCAAATGTACTGTCTGAAGTAGAAATGACTACATCCCAGGCCGTGTAAGCAAAGAATGCTAACATGGGTCTTAGGGACCCGGAGCTGCTCTACTCCCACAGGCATGGTGACCTCAGCGGACCACAACCAGGCCTTGTGTGGGTCACTCTGAGGAAGTGCCGGGTGCTGAGGAGTCTGACCAGGGAGTGAGTTCAAGTCCACACTGAGCAACACAGCAACAAAACAAAAGGTGATTTGCAGTTTTTTAAAAATAACATTACACGTAAGCAAGAATTCTACTCTAAATAGCTTTACAGACCTAAAGTACTCCAGGAGAGCAATGTCCTCTTCTTTCACCTGTTTTCTCTCACTGGTTCTCAGATCTGCCCACCTCCCTGTAGATCTTGATCTTCCCAATGCCTCTTTTTTCCTTCTAGTTCTTTATAGCTCACTCCAAACTTCAAAAAGCCATACGTTAAAGAAAACTATTTATTGATATAAAATTCCTTGATTCTTATCACTTGAATGCTAAATGAAGTTCCTTTTCCCTCCCATCATAAACAAAGAAAAAATGGACCTGGGGCATCCATGGCATTGTTGAGGGACCGAGCCCCTCCAGATTCACCTACATAGGGCATAACTCACACACCCCTGACTGCACTGTGGGCAGCGAGGCACAAGTGCTGTTCTTACTGTTTCCTTTTCATTTATTATTTGGGTTACTCTGTATTGTTTTATTGCTTTTTATTAGTACATATTTGCCATACATAAGAATCACAGTTACCGTAGGGAAAAGACATACAAAAAAATGTATCTTCTGTTTCGCAGAAATCTTCAATGACCTTTTATTTACTTATTTACTTTTTGTATTTTAGGGAAGGGCCTACATAGTGTTCCGAGTCTCACTACTAGACCGGGACTGGTAGTGATCCACCTGCTTACAGCCTCCCAAGGGCTGGGATTACAGGCACGTGCTACCACACCCAGTCTCAACACACCCCTGGGGTGGGGCCGGCACCACAGGCCTGGGGATGAACCCCTGACCCCGCACCTGCTTGCAGGCACCTTAATCCACTGAGCTGTTTGGCCAGCCCTTCAGTGACCTTTTAAAGGGGTTCATCTAATATATCTTACATAGTCCTGCATAACTACCATTTTGAGAGCTCTTTATTCTTTATCTAGGAGCATACAGCAACTTCTCTTGCCTTCTGGATTTTGCTCTTTATTAATTCCTATATGCTATGTCTAGAGGTACTAGAATATCTCAAGTTTGTACAACTGGAAAATATTTTACTTTTAGTTTTCAAAGGTATGTTTGCTAAGTATAAAATTCAATTAAGACAGATTTCTTTTTTATTTCAGTCCTTTGAATTGTCTAGTTTCTTACACACTTGTTTTTCTTTTTTTTTTTCTAGTGTGGAATAAGATGCTATTAATTTTGTTCTTCCATAGCTAATTTTTTATGGATATGCTTTAATGATTTTTTTCTTTACAATCAGTTTTGGACAATTTCATTTTTGTGTATCTTGGTATGATTTTATTCAAATTTCTTGTGCAAAAGGTTCATTTTTCTTGGAAATGTGGTGCTATAATTTCAACTAAGTTCAGAAATTCAAAATTTTTAAATATTT